ACTACAAGATATTATAGGTGTACATACTATGCAAAATGATCAATGAATTTTTGTTTGATTTTATTAAAGATCCGCATTCTTTGTCAGATAGACTTACTTCACGGCCTTCAAAGAAACCATTAGGACATAAATGGGACAACTCACAAAGTCTTCGGCTTTGATGATTAAGGCTTTACATAAAGAATTAATTGAAGGCAACAGAGCAATGATTTTGAGTACACTGTTACAATTTCCGTATACCTAATGAATATTTTAACAACATAATATGAAATAGCAAGAACATTATGTTAAAACAATCTAGTTCACATTTTCAAACACCTTTTTTCACTTCAATTCTACCTCAAATCTTTTACAAAATATTAACATTGTTCATTTTAAAGTAGGTCAACAGCTGAGTTATGTATTACAGCTCTCAGTGACAAGTGTTGAAAACAATTTATATACTGGATGTTGGTTTAATTTAAGTCATATTGATTTCTGACAAATGCAATTTCCTGAAGTTGAAAAGAGTAAGAGGTAATATAACCAATCATTTTCTCAGGTCGGAGATCATGTTCTTTTCATTATTTTAAAATTGATTCAGTATTGAAATGGTAATGACAGCACTGTTAATTTAATCCAAAATGTCTGTTATTTGATGATGAAGAGCAGTTTGGGTTTAATGAAAATATCCCTAATACACAGAATGGATAGAAAATGAAGTTTTTCATGTGTGTCAAAATTCAACACTTTAGGTCTACTGGTCATTAAATTTTACAATGGAATGTGGCCTCATTCACAATTAAGTGACATTCTTAATGTTGCTGCCACAAATTACACAGCACCTGACTTTGAACAGAATTACAGGCATATCACTGACATCATGTCCACAGAGTTTCTGAAAACAAACTGACACATTCAACAGTTTTAAGTTACTTCTTCTAATTATTTTAGACATACTAAAAGCTATCTTTTACATAGCTAAACTTACAAATTAAAATACATTAACTCCAAGAAAAATGATCTTATTTGATGAACAGGTATTTGAGACCAATGGCAGTAGCACTGCAAGTGGTGAGACTCCTAATTAAGAGATGCAGACATACACAGGCAAACTACAGGGAACATATAGGCATGTTATACACAGATTAAACATCAGTATGTGGGCTACACTAACATCTTGTCTCTGAAATGAACATTTTTTACAGAAAAAAGTTCCTAAATTATCATCATAAAATATAATAAAAAGGAGCCCAGAGACTTTCTTCATTTTCAGAAACTGTGGAAATCTAGACTTGCCACATGATCTAGACTTGCATGAGATTTCTTGGATATACTTGTTTCAGAATCTGTATGACAGACTATATGTGGGCATACATTATATATAAGGGTGGTTGATAAAGATGATATATATGTGAATAGATACCAGATACATATGCAGTAAAGTACAGTTATAACAAACTAAAAGGGAACACTAAATATACAGTAAGTGGCTGGGTAGTGGTGGAAATAGACGACATAGGTGACATGTGGCTGGGACAAATATAGCACATGCAACCTACAAAGTTCCCCAAAGTTAGGATGACCCAATTATTCTGTTTCAATTATCATTTAAACCAAACCCATAACAAAATCTCCAGAAGTGATATTCTCAACTGTGTCACTTACTGAAGGGGATGTCATGAAACAGAGATGCATTGAAAGTATAGTGGAATGTGGAAAGTGATCTTAAAGTGTTGGCATCTGAACAATGCCACTGCAATAAGCTAGACACACAAATATTCAACAGGATATCTGCCACACAGATTGTTTGTCAAATTTTCAAGGAACTTAATTTCCTATGTGTTATTCTCATCTCATCCTTCTAAATATTTATACATCAAAAGTTCTTGCAAAGTTCACAGCTAAATATACCAGTAGATTTGTTGTAGACCAGGAGCGGGAAGTAGGACTGTTGTTACTGTAGAATCAGCATACTTCGCATACACACATAAACATAAATAAGCTGCATTAACTGAAGTTTTCCAAATTTCTCAAACATACAAAAATTCATCATTATAATTTAACAGATATTTGAAACTAACTAAAGAAATCTCTAACAAAAACCTTCTGAATGTGAAGTAAAAAAAACCTTTGACCAAATACTGTACTTGCATAAATGTCATAAATCCCATGTTCCTTTGAGAATACTGCAGTTTTATATCACAAGAGTTTGCTGTAAGCTATTTATTGAAATGAATACACATTTTTATTAATAATCAACTACTACTTCTTGCAAGGCACATCTCTGATATTGCTCCCACTATTCAGGGCATGAAGATATGCTGGCATCCTCTAGTATGCTATTTTCCATTGATTACACAGGCCTGGGTCAAAAGGTGGTGCGGCCAAATTGATTTTTGCGTTGAGATTGAAACCGGACTGTCCATGTGATACAGGCGATTTGTTTAATTCCAACTGATTTGTTTAATTAGCTGACCCATGTCAGCTGTTATAACCGTCACGGCCATTGGATAAAAGCCAGGTGTCATCAGACTAGTAGACTGAGCTTCATTCTGGAGATAGTATTTTACAAAGATAAAAAAAAATTGCTTTTGCATGCAGTATTGAAAAAGGACTTTTACAAAGTATTTATTGATTGCAGAGATTTTATTCTCATCTCAAATATATTAAAAAATCATCAATATATGAATATAATTGATTTAATTTAGTCTAAAACCATTGAAAGTCAACATCTTATATCAATTGTTTGATCAACATTCTAGATGTTGATGAGTCAATAACAAAGATTACATCTTTATGGATAACAATAAACAACAAGTGGAACTGCATAAAGTCGTAATATTTGTTATTGTTCTTATAGCAATCAAATAAGGTTAAATATAATGTGTAATAAGCTTGAAAACTACTTATTAGCATACAAGCCTATAATGTTAGAAACACTGACCGAAAAGTTTCTTGTTTGCATGATGTACTTTCCTAGTAATCCATCCTTCATTGTGTTGAGTTAAGGCAGTTCTAGTTTCAAGCATATCTAGACTGATCAAATTGCAACATGTACTTATATATTTCTTCTGCATGCTTTAAGTAGAGATATATTTTGGCTATGGAAAGTTCTTTGTGTCAGTGATAATGTTGGACATGCATACCCCTTTCATCAACATCCAGTGTCACCAGTGATTTTTAGTGATCATTCATACGATTTTCATCTTTTTGCTTTATATGCCCCATTTCAGCAGACAATCAAGGCTGGTTGTTCTCTGGCAATAACATTTATAATCACTTTAATCTGTCTTCACATAATCTGTTGCTTTTTCAGACAAACATGTTTATGTTTTTGAGAACCATGGACTATTCCTCCAGGAAATTTGGAAATGACCCCTATCAAAAGCCACATGAACATCCTCCTTGAAGACAGTAAACAAGATGTCTTCCATCCAATTCTACCTCCAAATATTTGGATGTCCAACGTGTGCCTAGTGATAAAATATTTATGCATCTCATTTTATGATGTTCCTAATTATCCCCAGAAGTAATTCAATTTCTGTATTATACCTTTTTTATTTCCATCATTTAGCCCTCTGTGACATTTGAATTGGTTGGTTTATTTCTCTGACAATGTTTTGGCAGCTTGGACTGTGACTGTTCGATATCAGACTGTTCACTTTCCCTATGATGAATTCTTCATTAGGCCTATTGTGGAGGCTATGTTAAAGCTGTCATACCTTAATCAAAGAACCTTGTTATGTTAAGCTCACAACAGGATCTTGTCAATGGTTAACAATGTTTCAGAGTTTATGAAAACTAGGTAGAAGAAGATATTCCAAACTGATGACCAGAATGGACACAATTATCAAAAATCTCTCATGTTTGTCATACCTATTCAAAGACTTCTGAACCAGTCATTAAGAATCTTATTGTACCACCACTCTTCGATATGGATGTTTTACTATTAGAAAAATTAACTTAATGGTGATAATGAAATCATCCTTATGACTTTTCATGTGATTACAATTCAACTCCATCTAATAACTGCACCATTGTTCAGCTGATTAATCTGCAGAATGCACTTCAAAAGAGCCACAGGTAATATCTACTTTCTTTTCTAATGTACACATAATAATTAATATATATATATATTTACACCTACACTTAGGAAAGGACACATGAGCCATTCAATGCACACTCCTGTACATTTGATTAAAAGGGTTATGAATATTTGCAGAAATTGTGAAAATACACAAATGTGAAATCATGTTCTACGGTTTTATCTAACTCGTGTAATCATAAAATAGACTTCATATACATGAATGTCTTGATTGCACAAACACTTATTAACAGCTCGCAGCAGGATGACCAAAACACATTAGCTAAATGATGCACTTTCAGCAGCTTGGTCTGTGTCAGTCCTGGCTTACAGACCACAGAATCATAAAACCATACACACTAAATGCCATCACATTGCAAAAACTACTTTCTTACTCCCCTGTCATCAATACAGGTTTTGAAATGTGAGAACACCAAACACAAGAATGAAATACTCTTAACAAGTATTAAAAGGTTTTCTTGTGTTTTTAATATCTAAAAAAGGAACAACTTGTTGTATAGAAGCACATGTTGAAAGCATCTCTAATATAGTATGAACTTCACGTACTTTTTAGCACAAATAGTCTGAACCCTGAACAGGTTAGATGATGGTTTTGTTGAACCTCTATAATTTCATGGCAAAGAAAGGAAAGACACTGTTGATTTTAATTGAAGTCAAACTGACAGATTTCTTAATAAAAATAGAAATATAATGACCTTTTAAAGCAACTACTGCTTTCATGCTTTCAAATGCTGTTGAAGCATTCATGTCTTTCAAAATGGAATTTAACAAATATTTTTCAAATGGTCCAAAGTATAACAATCAACATTATTGTAATTTGATTTGATTTTTTAAGAACAGACTGGAAGAAAAATTGAAAATTGATTATGTCTGGTTGAGGTGTCTAGACTCGCCTTTTATACTCAGATGATGGGATTGGTTCCTTGTCTTCTTCTGCTTCTACGCCATGACTGTTTTCTGCACCCTCTTGAACTTTGACACACAAAAAACTGTCTTCAGCTGATTGGTTGGTCTGCCCTTCTTGGTCACTCTGACCTGCCTCTTCTGAAAAGAAGGAACAAAAATGTTTAGCACAGGTTGGGCTTCCCTTGAAATGGGAAAGGCAGGGTCTTTTCAAAATTCAATCCAGGTTGTTCTGGTTGTCTGGTGTTGAGGTATTGTTTGTCCGAAACAGCAAACATTGAGGCACATGTTTTTATATTTACATTAACGTAACTACTGCGCTCTGAGCATCTCTTGACCTGAGGTCAGTGCGACCAACAAAAACATGGTGCGTCTTGATCCTTGAAAAATAAACTTTGACCACATGGGGCTTCACCAAGCAGCTTTTTTCATTTGATGGATTTTTCAAAAAGTTCAGACATATGGTATTTAAGCAGACAGGAAATGTTGGCTTTTGACTTTTTGACAACTGGTTTAGATCAGCCATCTTCAGTTGGACTCCTAAATAGTGACTTCGTACAATCCCTACCGAAGAGTACTGTGTCAAGAAATTGGAATTAATTCTCTACATGTATTCAGTTTTCAACATAGTGTTGCATAAACTAAAAAATTAATATCCGTAAAACATGTCATCATGTTCAACATTGATATAACATGCACTCTCACAGGCTACAGTGGATTACTGAATAGATACTCCTCCCAATTTACAAAGTAATAACATGTCAAGCAGCAAATGTTTCATAGCTTATCCTTCATCAACAAACTGTTCTAAATCTGTGTACCCGAACTGTTGATTGGTATGATTCACATGCAACAGGAGTTCTTGGCAGAAATAAACATAGAAAGTGTACTTCATGAAATACAGAAATAAGCCCCACACATAAACATTTTCTTTGTCTGTTGGTACTTATAGAAAAGGTTAAGTGTCTGGAAGTGTAGCTGGCAAGAATGACAATCTAATAATTACTTTATAACAGCCTAACCAAGGTATGCTAGTATCAAGCAACCAGTACCAAGACACCATTGAACATGTTTGTTGTTAACAGTTTAGCCAAGGTTACAATTAGAGCAATGAAGGACAACTGTTTGACATGTTCGCTTCCCATGACGTTAGACAAACACTTTTCATTCCAGTTACAAAAATCTCAACATAATCAGTAGGTGTGAAAATCATTAACATGTACAATTACTTCCTGGTGTTCAAAAATATCCACCCCTGAACTGTAACCTGAACAAGCATCATGTGTTGGTGTGATGTCTTGTGGACACTGATCATCTGCTATAATGACTACAAAACTAACCATAATTGCTGAATACAATCCTTTATCATGTATAGAGTTTACTGCTTGAATATAAATATACTGTGTCAGATGAAAAATGTCTTTCTATCTTCCCATCCTATCACACTGAAATGCAAAGGTCTTGATCAAAATATGGTCACCAAGTGCTGTATATCGGAAAATGAGGTAAATATGAGAAGCATAAACATCAGAGACTTGCATGGAATAAGAGAAAGCAGCATTAAGAGTGGACAAGTTTTTGGTCAGAAGATGAAGGCTGACCTCATATCCCAAGTTAGAGAGATGAATTATCTACTTGGTCTCCAGTAAAGGGAGAGAGTATACCACTGGAGCCTTCAGACATATAATTGAATTAATTCCTGTCTGTGTCGAGATATTAAGAAAGTATGTCTGATGTTTTAGATGCTATTTCAGACATGGATTAATTATGGCGCTCTCATATTTTCATTTAACAATGAGGAACTTAATGGGATTGTAACTTCCCAATCTCTAATGAAAGTATTTGGCTTTTTATTATTATTTTGGAGTGCCAAATTTTATGAAATACATCAAAGGAATGTCATAACTGATTTTCTATCAATCCTTCAAAAATCAAAATACACTCAAAGGACCTTGAAAATAAAAAAAAAAACAACAATTTAATTACTTAAATCTAAACTAAAAAATATTTGGTACAACTGTTTAATATTCATGAGAAGAACCTCCATTTTTATTAAATTTAAAGCAACTCAAAATGACATTTTCAGTTGTTATTTGCTGCAATTTAGATTTAAAATACTATTTTTAAAACATCAAGAGTGCCATTGAAATTTCACCCTTTAAATGCCAAACTCAACAATGATACAACCGCATCTTTAGTGAAATAATATATATTTAAACCAAAAATGTCACATGTCAAACAATATTCATATTCAAAACATTTCTTACACTGACTGCATTGAGTCAGAGCATGGCCGACTGCACACACAACACAAGCGATTGACCTGCACAGGCAGCATCTGAACCAAGCTATGACCAGCATGATATAATAGTACAAAACCTGAAGAAAACAATTCCTCTTACCTTTCCAGCACGCCATCACTGTATCAGATCAGCATATAACCTTTCACTGACAATAATCCTCTCCAAAAATTACCTTGCCTCAACAGAAAAGTGCCCTTTTCCAATCTGTCATGCCAGTAAATATTTGCTGTACCCAGTTATAACTCTGTGATGTAATGGCCCACATCTAATAAAGCCAGGCCTTTGTCCACCACTGGACATCTAATGTCCACTGCCAGCTGTATAATGAGGGATGTTTACACTGACCACTAGTGACCTCACTATAAAGCTGATAATAGCTTTTGTCCACATTGCATATATTTCCTTGGTATTGCATAACTAAACAGTTGGTTTCAAGTGCTTTTGCCTGGAGGGGATGTATACAGGTCTTTTGAAAAGTTTTTAATATATAGGGCTTCAATCTGCTGTAGGCAGGCAGTTAATTATTTAAATTTTCATCTGCTTGAGTGGCACTGAGTTATGTTCTTGAGTTTTGGTGATTCTGTTCCATTTGTTGACATGCTTACTTCGCAACATGACAGATTAAACTGTCAATACATAAGCCCTCAAAATCATGTTTAGTATGTAACATTTATCCAACAAAAAAATATTTGCGTCTTTTTAGGTTTAAAGGATTAATTATTAATTCATTCTACCAGGGTTTTCATAACCTGTTTGTTTCATATTTAGTTTCATTGACTTATCTACTGATTAATTACTCTTCTAATTAATTCTTGGTTTTGTTATTAATTTTTGTGCATTTTTTATGCAAATAGTTTCAAACAAGTAGCTTCATAAAATACATGTGATGGCTATAGAATATAAAACAGCACATATGATGTGATCATCCTCATCCATTTACTCCAATTTTTTTATACCAGAAACAAGTTTGCAGAAGAAAACTTAAGGTTATCTTCCAAGTAAATACTTTTTGGTCAGGATTTGTTCTTAGTCCTTCAAGCCAGGCTGCCAGCAACTGAGAAGTCTGTTGAGACCCTAGACAAGGTGACCAGACACTTCCTTAAATAATGGCTGCCGATCTATATACAATTTGACAATCTTGTCTGCGCCAGTACTATCTGGGATGACCACACACTTTGACGGACACCTAAGAATTTGTGTCTTGCTGTGCATTTTTGGTGTACACCAGCAAGGTGACTGTGGTACCTACTGCTGGGGGTAGCAGTGCATCTTGGGTCTGTAGTTCATGCAGTCTGGGTTTCCATGCATACAACCATTATTTGGAATACGTCTCAGTAATGGTGACCATTACTAGCTTGATTCTGCTGAGACTGGTAAAAGACTGCAGTAAAACACTGATAGATCATCAACAGTTTCTATTAACATGACTAACATCCCTGATAGCTCTCATGCACACATACAGATTCAGATGCTTGCGTATGCCTGTAAGAGTCACAGTATTGAATAGTTCTCTATATGTGTTAGAGTGAGGAGGTATCATGCCCTGAGCAAATGTACCATATGAAGTTATTGAAGGAAACTGATTTGTGTTTGGTCTTTAATGTTGAATTCAGCAATATTCCAGCAGCAGTCTGTATACAGTCAAGTCTAAACCAGTCAATCCAGTGATTAATGTCATGATTATTGACCCATGCAATTGGGATCTGATCCAATGCAGTCAACCCAGTCTCTGAGACTCACAACCCATTCTATATTATTTTTTGTCACGATATAGTGGGAAGTGTACAATCATCTCTGCTATTAGTGAGTGAGTGAGTGAGTGAGTGAGTGAGTGAGTGAGTGAGTGAGTGAGTGAGTGAGTGAGTTGAGTGAGTTTTAGTTTAAGCTGCTTTTAGCAGTATACCAGCAATATCATGACAGGGGACACCACAAATGGGCTTCACACATTTTATTTATGTGGGGAATCGAACCCGGGTCTTCGGCATGACGAGCAAATGCTTTAACCACTAGGCTACCCCACAGCCCCCTGTTAGCAGAGATTTCTGCTAGAAGTATTACGGGTTTTGGTGCTTTAATTGGAGAAATATTAGCACAGCATATTGTTGCCATTGTAGTTGTGTCTTCCATCAACACAAGCAGAAAATCTTAAGTGATGGATGAATTTAAACCACACATCATTGCTTACATGTAAAGTACCAAGGGCAAAGACCAATACACAGAGTGTGAGTGAGTGAGTTGGGTTTTATGCCACTTTTAACAATATTCCAGCAATGTCACGTCGGGGGACACCAGAAATGGGGTTCACACTTTGTGCCCAGGTGGGGAATCGAACACAGGCCGCCAACATGACGAGCAAACACTTTAACCACTAGGCTGCCCAACTGCTCCCCAAATACACAGAAGGTTCAACATACAAAATTAGCCTGACTCAACTCAAGATTGTGGAGCCATTTCCGATTCATTTTCATTTTCTAACAAAAAGATTTGTTTACAGAGGCAGGAATTTGCTGGTTAAAAACCAAGGAAAATTTGAGAGGCCTATCTATCCTATTCATAACCTATTGAACTTGAGTAAATTTCAAGTCCTATGGCTGACTGACTGACTGAGTTTGGTTTTACGCCGCTTTTAGCAATATTCCAGCAACATCGCGGCGGGGGACACCAGGAATGGGCTTCACACATTTTGCCCATGTGGGGATTCGAACCCGGGTCTTCGGCTTGATGAGCCAACGCTTTAACCATTAGGCTACCCCATCGCCCCTCAAGTCCTATGGATTAAGGCTATGTGTATACCTGTTAATTAGAAATGTGTATACCTGTTAATTAGAAATGTGTATA